CGTCCACGGCTTCCTTCGACAAGTAGAAACTTTTCAACAATAAGTCGTACGGGAGGTCGGTAGGCCTTGCTTGTTCTGGTAGGCACAGCGTTGGCCGCAACGGATTTGCATGCCTTGTCTAGATGTGTGAGCTCACGATCACGTCATACATGACATTTGCGCAATTGTGTTTGAACGCCCTTGGGTCCACTTCGCGTGGCCATCCCGCTAGTCAAGTCCTAGCACTTTCTGTCCAAGTGTACACGACTGTTTCTTTTCTCCATACCGCCGGTCGCATGGTGTTGAAAGGCTTACGGAGCTTCCTGTTCATCATAGCCTGTGCTGGAGAAACTCCGTCCGACGTTTGTGGATTCCAAGTTGATCGGTAGAAGAAAAGGAACCGGTCAACCACCTCCTCTATACACCCCTCCCGTTTTCGTTTGTGGAGAGCTCGCTTGCACGTACCGATCAACGTTTCTGCCTAGTCATTCGCCTGTGGGTGAAACGGCGGCAAGCTGGACGGTGCATTGCTTGCAAAACTCCGTAAACATTGCCGAAGTAAATTGTGTGCAAATATCGGTTACAATTGTCTCAGGACAGCCGAATCTGCTAAAGGTTTGGCGTAGTTTTGATACAGTGGCATTGGTCGTTGTGCTACCCATGAGAAATACTTCAGGCCACTTGCTGTATGAGTCGACTGTAATGAGGAAACTTCGGCCGTTGATCGGTCCTGCAAAGTCGACATGGATGCGGCACCATGGTTTAGTAACTTTTGGCCATGAATAGAGTTCTGATTTTTGTGGTGCTTTCAAGACATTGGCGCACTTTTGGCAGCGTTTAGCTATTTCTTCTAGCTGCTTTTCCACGAAAGGCCAGTATACATAACTGCGAGCAAGCGTCTTCATCCGGTTGATCCCAGGACGGCCGGCGTGGAACTGTCGAATAAGGCGTCCCTGAAGGGCCTTGGGAATGATCACTCTTTCAAAAAAATATTATGCAATCGTTCACAATAGATAGCGAATGTCTCCTCTGGAAGTACTGTTGCAACTCTGCAGATGGACATGCACGTGGTTAACTTGTTTTGTGAAACTGTGTAACTTCCTTGAGTATGATCCTGAAGCTTTTCGGTTCGTACAGCTTCTGCGGTAACCGGTAGACCGTGCAATGCATTACTTACCAGATAGTTGACGTCAGGTTCGATCTTGACCCTAGGCAATGATTGTGTCCTCAAGTTCTTGCTGATGGGCATCATTTAGGCGTGACAGTGCATTCGTGTGGCCAATGAAAATTGTCGACTGATAGTGGGTCTCGAAATCCTACCCCATTAAGGTAAGAGTCCAACATTGTAGCCGGTTGACTGTGTAGGCTTGGATGCCCTTTATCGAACTAAAGATAGCGAGCAAGGGCTTGTGATCTGTCAGAAGCTTGAAGCGGCGGCAGTATAGCATTTTGTGAAATTTCTTGACGACGAACACAATGGCCAATGCTTCTTTCTCAATCTCGCTTTAATTCCTGTCGGCCTTAGTAAGCGTTCTGGTAGCATGGGCGATTGCTTTCTGAGATCAGTCGGAGTACGTGTGGGAAATTACTTCGCCAATCCATGGATTGATGTGCCTGTGGTTAGAACAAGCTGCTAGACTGGACAAGCATTGATTTCTAGAACATGATGAAAAGGAAATTTGAATCCAATTTTCTGTTGGCATAGATAGTTGTCCATCGTACACAGAAAAGAGTGACTCGATGAAACAGTTCCGTCGCAGCTTTCACCTTCGTGCGCCAAAGTCAGCCAAACTGCATAAGCAACTCAAAGTCCGACATCATTCAGACGAGTGCTGATGAGTAGGTCGGCTCACCGCTGCATGCTTGAACGAGTAACCAGTTGGTGGATGACACGGCTGGCCTATCACTGAGTTTCATTGTTGCAGAATGAAGAATGGAGGGGACTGGCAAGGCAGAAGTGGATTTAGACGAGCAGAATGTGCAGACCAGTGCATATGGACAGAAGGCGGAAGACACAAAACTACAAAGGAACCAGTACGAAACAGCTGTGACCAAGTAACACTCCCATTTATCTATAGTATAACAGATGCTTTGATTTTCGAACAACGGATTCCAATCGTTGCCCAGGTTGTGTTTGGACTCTTGAAGGCCTATAAGGCATCATGGTTATCTATCGCGAGCGACCACCGCTGCGAAAAAACAACTGACTACGGCTCTAAACCTACTCCGGTAGAGTAAACGCTTGGTCACCTGAGAACACATACGACATTGTTTTGTCTTATCCATCACTGTTGCAGGTTTGTGACTGATAAGAATGCACCTAATGGCGCCACCTCCCAAATTGCTTCCTCTGATATTCCTCTCTGAAATTATAAAGGGAATTTATTGTTTCAAATCTTATTCATGGCAGCTTCTGGATTGTGGATTTCTAACCATTGGGCCTGTGAACCGGAAAACCGGAACAACAAAAAGCATCATTGTGGAAGAAGTGAAGGTGAGGGTGGTACGTAACCGATCAATGTGAGAAGCGTAGATACTGGTAAACACCCGACACGAACAGCAAGTTGGCTTGATCTATAGGGCCTCCTGCTCTAACATGTGAGGTTTATCGTAGTGAACCGGGCTATGGTTTACTAAAAGTGAGTTTGTCTCGGAAAGGTTACGCATTTTCCGGAAAAGGCATTATTTCAGCGAGTAATCGATTGTTAACGATTATCGTATCGAGTCCTAACTTTCTGGTATGTTGTAACATCTGTAGGTGACTATCAACCTGAAGATAGACCAAATAAAAATGGAGCGACTAACCTTGGTAGTTGACCTTCCTATGCCAGAAGTCGAAGGCCAGTAAGTGACTCATAAGTACAGCCAAAGCATGCTGCACTGGTACAGTGTTTTGTTGATGGCTGTTAGCATGTTGTTTTGTTAAGGTCAGTTGCGTTCTGCTTTTTCCATCGGTTAGGCTAGAAGTTTGGCGAGCAGTAAAGTGGCTATTTCGAAAGCACGTCAAATGTGAAGATTATAACAGTTATTATGGTAAACTACCTTGTTAGCACTAGTTTGAAGAATGATGACAATGATTTTGCAAATTGTTGGGATCCATGGCTCGATGAAACAGCTGATCCCACTATAACGCTCTGAACCAAGTTGTTCGGCGAGCAGAGCATGGTGACATGAAGTCATGACTAGCAACGGAGTCTTTTGCTTGTTTCCGCGACGTTAGCGTTGTAAACCTCGTGTTCCCATGAAGTCCGTTACGTTCCAGTTTTGGTGTTTTCATTGACATCCTATAGAGCCTTACGGATTGAAATGAATCCCTGTGGAACATGAGCATTGAGTGAAGCTTGGTACCCAGAAGGTACGAAGCAACGCCGGTTGAGCTTACCTATTTGACATGATACATTTTCGTTGACAAGCGCGAACTATGGACAGGAAAAACTCTGCATCGACTGAATGGGTGCCAAACCGGTAGGAGTCAATTCGGGAACCGCATCGGTTGAAAAGTAAAATGCAAAACATTTCTATTACCATAATTTGCAAGCGGTTTGTCAACAGTTGTGATAAGGAAGTCGGGTCTGTGGCTTTGCAACTTCGAATAAATGCCATCAAATCACTTCAATTTCCAGCAGATCATTTTCCCTCTCATACCTAGACAGCTGGTTCATGATTTTCCATTAGCTTTTGTATTGAGACCAGCGTATCGGATCGTCAACCATCCAGAACAAATTTCGCACGATTTCTCCTCTCATGCTACTCAAACACGTTGGTGCCAAGCATCATCTTAGGAGACACTGAACAACGCAGGTGAGTGAGAAGTGATAAGATTAAGAACCAGTCACGGGAGTTGGGGAAACACGGTATTATTGGAATAGGGGTCCTGAGCTGACATCCATTACGAACGACGTATGCTGGCCAATCCAATCAGAGAAAGGATGGTTTCCAACAAAGGTCATTAAACGAACGATAGCGCAACGAAGACCAGTAACCAAGAATTACTAGATAAAATCATGTCTATTTCATTGGTTCATTGGTTAGTAGAGAGCAGAAGGAAGTTCCTTTGTCAGCTCCGTCACTTCCCGGACATTGCGAGGGTTGCTGGGATCATTGCGTAACAAGGTTCAGCAGAAGATCGCTATGGTTGTATTGTGGGCAGCAGAATCCCTGCGCACTCAGAGAGTGGGTATCCAACCGTCGTTTGAAACATTCCTCAGTCTCCGCATCGACGACAGCTTCTGGCAAGCTGTTCCAGTCATTCACGACCCGGGTGGATAGGGCCAGATCGGACCGTACACGGAGTCGCCGCGGTTTGAAGAGTTTCCACCGGTGGCCTCGAGTTGCACAACTTGTGTTTAGACAAGAGAACGATTGCAGCTCACTCCCCAGATCACCTCGTAGAATACGCCGGGTGAATATCATATCTCCGCGGCGACGACGATAATCCAAAGAGAACAGGTTCAACCGTTGTAGCCGGAGGAGGTAGGATAAGTCCCGAAGCTCTGGAACGGATTTGGATCCACGCCGTTGAACCTTCTCGATCATGTCACGTTCGGACTTAGTGAGCGGGTACGCAGCAGGCAATCCGTACTCGAGAACTGGGCGTACATGAGAAGCAAACAGTAATCTGAAGAGTGCTGGGGTCAGGCGTGAAAAGGCTCTCCGTATAGCGTGAAGTATTCTGTATGCGGATGCGACCCTCCTCCGGGTGTCCTCCATAGTAGGCATCCTCCTAACAATAGTTAGCTTCGCCAGTGAAAATTCATCAACCCTATTCCTACTGGTCTTCCGGGTGCAGATCTACTCGTCAGAATATATTTTGCAGGTTGCACAGGCCTTCCGATAAACCAGACCATAACAGCTGTGTTTCACTATAAGGTTTGAAGTTGACATTAATGTCTTGATGTTCGATGAAATATTACACCAGGGCAGTTCTCATGAAAACCAATGCGATGGAATGATCAGTGCATTTGAATCAATCATGGAAAATGTGAATGAAGTTGAGAGGATAGGCAGTGATAGTAACCCACCTCTTCAGCACTGGTGGCTGGAAGCCAAAGAGTTAAACCGCGTTCAGAGCAGTACTTGAGTGCGTCATCTCGAGAGAGACTTTGTTTATCCAAAATCCAGAAGCAGACATCGGGAAGCTGTGGGGGGCACAAGAGGTCTATGGAACAGAGGAGGGAAGGAGAATTACCTATTTGTCTGTGCATTACTCCTGAACAAGCAACAAAGACGACGTGTAAATCGTGAGGCAAATGGAAAGTTATCAGAATCAGCATGGGGATATATGACCCATTAACAGTTGCCTATTCTATCCCGTGTCAAATGACCATTACAGAGACTCTGACAAGATCTTGCTAGCCGGTGACACAGTGAGCAAACATCTAGCACTCCTGGTAGAAGCTCGACTTGGATCTGTGTGAGGTTCCCAACGGTGGACAACGAATAGAGACGTTACTTATTGGTAGAAGGATTTTGGCGAGTATTTTTGTTCGTCGCAATCAGCCGACAATTCAGATATGTCGACCAGCTATCCAGAAAAGCACCAGACGGTCGTTTCGCCCTATTGGGGCTCATCAGTGGTGCGCATCCTTCGGTCCTCTGCGGAGGGTCGAACCCATGACTGCTAGTGGCTCTTGCCAACTAGCCCGCAGCTTACGCAACTGCGCCATGGAGGACGGTATCTGACTATCATGAATTGTTATCTAAATGCGATATAGCCCGACGCATCCTCCACTGCCATGCAGGCACCTGCCATGCAGATGACAGCGGTCGATCTTCCGGCGTCAGGACTTCCCGGTTACAACAGCTATGAATCGACATAGCATTTTGTGGAATCCGTACGGGAGAATTGGTATTACTTATGAATGGAAGGATTTTGGTGAGCATTTTTGTTCGTCGCAATCAGCCGGCAATTCAGAAATGTCGACCAGCCATCCGTAAAAGCACCAGACGGCTCGTTTCGCCCTATTGGGGCTCATCAAGTGGTGCGCATCCTTCGGTCCTCTGCGGAGGATCGAACCCATGACTGCTAGTGGCTCTTGCCAACTAGCGCGCAGTTTATGCAACTGTGCCATGGAGGACGGTATCCGACCATCACGAATTGTTAGCTAAATGCGATATATATATATATGCTATATATATATATATATATATATACCAATTCGCCCTTACGGATTCCACAAAATGCTATGTCGATTCATAGCTACCGTAACCGTGAAGTCCTGACGCCGGAAGGCCAACCGCTGTCATCTGCATGGCAGGTGCCTGCATGGCAGTGGAGGATGCGTCGGGCTATATCACATTTAGTTAACAATTCGTGATGGTCGGATACCGTCCTCCATGGCGCAGTTGCATAAACTGCGCGCTAGTTGGCAAGAGCCACTAGCAGTCATGGGTTCGATCCTCCGCAGAGGACCGAAGGATGCGCACCACTGATGAGCCCCAATAGGGCGAAACGACCGTCTGGTGCTTTTTCGGATAGCTGGTCGACATATCTGAATTGCCGGCTGATTGCGACGAACAAGAATAGGGACGTGACAGATCTGCATTTATACTCCTTGAATTTGGAAGTATTCCACAGGGATTGTAAGCGGTTATGTGGCTAATCTATACCAACATGTCAAGTCTTCAACAAGCTAGGCTGCGAAGGCAGCGATGATTGAACATGACTAGCCTCTTTGTCAGGCGACCAGATGGGACAGGTTCCACAACCATATACGTATGCTGAACGGATGACTGCATTGTAAACTCTGCTATTCACGGCTAGAGTGATGTCGCGTAGACGCCATAGATGACGGCGATTGGCAAAAGCACGTCGAGCTTTTGCTATACGGTTAGTAGTTATATCTTGGAGCCTAAGGGCGCTAACCTAACTCCCCAGGCACTTGAATTCCTGAACGACTTCTAGATGATCATCACCAAGTACCAACGCAGGGTTGAATCCCGCCATTCTTGACGAACTTCGCATTTTGAGAGTGTAAAAGCATGCCCCAAAACTTTAACAACCATAACTAATTTGTTCTAAGTTGCTTGGCATGTTCGCGAGCTCTTGCATTGTAGGACAATGAACAGTAGAATAAAGGGGTACCGGTATTCAGCCCTGGGAGTTGCGGTTGTGTGGTCACAGAATAGGAAGTAATTTCTTCAATAAAGCTCTGAAAGCTGAGGTAATCAGCTGAAACAAAGATGGTGTTCGTGTCCAGAAGAATGCTATACAGGCTGTACGTATGCATAGTTACTATTGGCTTCTAGTTGGATTGTCTGTCTAACTAGTGTATGATGTTAACTAATCTATGGAGTAATGGCTGAGCAAGACGCGGCACATCAGAGGTAGTGCTGATAGTACCTAATCTCTGTGCTTGTTTTTGACCGCGTTGTTAGCAAGGTGTAGGTGCTTCTATCCTGACTGTTTGCTTAGGTCATTAAGGTTTTTACGCAGTTTTGAAGAGTTTCAGGTCACCAGTCCTTATCGTGGCATAATGAGTTTGTAGCTCGCTGCTTGGACATAACTGCATGACATATGTTTGACCTAGGTACCTTTGTTCCACATGGGCATCACTACATACACAGCCTTCAAGTATTGGGTTAATGGATATGGAGAATGGCCAACCATTTCTAAGATATTATAACAAATCCTCTGCACAAGACTTTTTCAAACATTCTGATCGGAAGAAAACTTGCTTCAGATGGAGAGACTTACCGTTTCCTTCAAACTGTCCGATCCATGCACCACCAAGCACGAGTCGAGTTAGGACAACACAGGAGACTGATGAAGAAAAATTTGTGAAGAATTTTATCGTGCTTTGTACAAATGTAAGGCAATATGGTTCCACTGCGAAAAACAGAATTCACTGAGCGATATTGAGACTTATTTTGAAGTATAAGTTGTGTGGATGGATTGCGATAGATTGCCCGTCGTGACCCGGTGGCTTAGGGTTGGCGGTCACAACTAACATCCCAATGGTCCCGGGTTCGCTGTCTGCTAACTCTATCTGATGAGATGTAATAACATCGAAACGCGTCATAGTAGTGCAGTGTTTTCGGGTGGGCAATACCCAATTTCTATTTAGAGTTCAGTGACTCATAAATGACTCAAAATTGGTGCTTTCGTGCGATATCCTAGAAAGGAATTTTACTTAGTAAAAAGATAGGTGAAATTGTCAGCCTCCGATGACCTTGTCCATTGTTACTTAGTGTGCAGGCGATTCGCACCAGGTACCTGTGCATCCGTAAGGTTCTAAACCAATGAATGTGGACAGCAATTGTCCTCGGATTGGTGCTTGTCAACTTGTATCCACATTTTTTTAAACGGAAACCTAGGAACGTCGTGTGTGACTCCAAGTAACGTTATTCTTTCACAATTTCGTCTGAACTGTCGTCTAAACGGTTCCATGTAGTGCTACATTAAGGATATCTTTGTGTTTGACTAGGTTCTAAACTACACCTATCATGATAATTCTTTCCGATTTGATGACAGTTTGTCCCAGTAGGTAGTTCCTATTTGTCTTGATACTTCTCTTTGAAGTGAGTACTGTGATCTTTAGGTCGCGCAGAGGTCCATAGGAATCGCCGTCTTGAGCTCACCACGAGTGACCATGTTCACCGGAAATATTCGAGTTTTCCTTCCCTGTTCGGAGTTGCGGATACAAAATCAACAAAAATCCTTATACGACGCAGTTTATGCGTTTCCCTAGACGTGACATGACTGTAGAATAGGCTGACACACAACGCCATTTGCTTAGGCTTGTGCGTTACACCCTCATAGTACCGGATGTCATGCAAGGATCGGTTGACCCGTGCCGGTGGTGTGCATCACCGAACAGCTACTAAGAGTGATCAATCGGTCCATTTGTTCAAAAGACAGCTGTATCACAGCTGGTGATCAAATCCACGGAAAGGTTACTTTACACTTCTGCAACGGTGACTGTTCTAAGCCCAAGGTACCTGAGGAGACAACGAGATGCCATTCCGGTTTCTCGAAGGTAGGATGTACAACAATGTGTGAATCAGTCACACTATTTGAAGACGAAAAGAGATTGGTCGAGTTTGGCCACTGATATCCGAGATACAAAATGACACAATTTACAGTGGCACCGAGCGTCTAATTCGGATGTTCTTCAGTTTCTCTTTAGCAATAAACACTATGACTGTGCACTAAGGATTTTGGATGTGAATCACCAATATTCTTGGCTGGTTTTCCGAACAACGTCCTCGTGGTGCCAGCTGGGTGGTTCGGGATTATCCTGTTCCAGCAAATTTTTCGGCAGCAGTGTTACAGGACGTGGTGGGTCTTCGCCTGGCAAGCGATCTCCCTATAAAAAGCCACAAACGTCCGTTTATCATCACTGTGACGTGACGGATGCGACTCGCCACTAAATAAAGTCACTGTCCCTTGCTTCCTCTTGGTGAAGCATTGTATTCCAGCAAGTTAATGTAGAAATTGTGGGGAGCATTCGGCCTCTGTTTAGAAAACGAACAAAAGAAAGGCGTATGAACTGGACAATCAGCCACCGGTTCCTCATGGGCGCGATTCCATGAATTCGCTCCACTGCCTTACGGGCAGGCCATTCGGCCAAATGCTCATGATGCTGCCCCTAAGTTAACATTCTACTTGGGCTTGGGTAACCGGGTAGTATCTCGCCCTCTGATAAAACCATGGATACCTCTGTGTTGTGTTGTGTTTTTAACGATATCTGTACTTTCCTTTTAGTCCCATGGTTTTTGATGGCTCCACGCCTATTCGTTGGCTGTTCTATCTATCTATCTATCTATCTATCTATCTATCTATCTATCTATCTATCTATCTATCTATCTATCTATCTATCTATCTATCTATCTATCTATCTATCTATCTATCTATCTATCTATCTATCTATCTATCTATCTATCTATCTATCTATCTATCTATCTATCTATCTATCTATCTATCTATCTATCTATCTATCTATCTATCTATCTATATATATATATATATATATATATATATATATATATATATATTGGATCATGGTATAAATATCTCCCAATCTATTGGATGAAAAACCGTGATGACCCTTTGGTTAGCTGCCTAATGTTCCTAAGTATATGACAACTATCCAGACTCGGCTTATCTTACGTGGTTCTCTCAGGTGGGGAAATCTGAATCGACAACGTTAAGAACCGCAAAAAACTTATTTGCCATAACAGTCACGCATATAGTGGCACTTTAACATTCGGTCTCTTGTGCATAGCTTTCAACTCTGTTCAGCAGTGCTGCTGTCGCTTATTCGTTCGAAATGTTTCAGTAGACATATTCCATGGTGCTGTCAGTACGGTACTTTTCTTGCTAAACTTTGGTCTATTATTACAACGAGATGAGTGTGGGTGATTGGATTGGTCACAATTCAATGCATAGATTATGTTTAGCCAGCTTAACGGTGCAGAAGTTACTAGTTGTTTAATAGGACCGGTACGGAGTGTTTCTGTACTTGGGAACGCATATCTCGCCCGTGTAGAGATGCCAAATGGGGACTAATCTGTTCAGTAAATTAAGGCTCCTTATCTGAAACAACTCGTAGGTCAGTAGGGTACTGTAGACATAGATACATGAAATACTCCAGTTGCAACTGTCCAGACTAGTTTGAGCTGAATTCCAAGTCTGGTTTCAGGGGAACAAGAAAGGAAGTTCAGCACAACCGTTTCCCACCAATGATATGAATGCCGAAGAGCATGTCAGAGAACTATAGGGACATACAGACAGTCCTCACCATGGTTCCTTGCGGGTTGTCGAATTTTCGGATCATCTTTCATCACATCCATTTCCATATCATCGAAGGGATCAGCAGAGGGCAGAAGAGCTTTGAGCAGTAGCAGCAGTAGTATGAGAGGAACGTCGCACCGGTGCATTCTGCTCTCGTCAACTCACTGAAATGTAGAACAGAACATTTGCATCAAATGTCTCGAACTGCAAGTTCAGCCCAATATGAGTAATGCTAGCTTGTCGTTGCATGCTCTAGAGAATAATGGTCAATTACTGAAGTAATGAAGCCGAAGATTCTCAGGTTAATAAGAAATTGACACCTTAGTGTTGTGGGACTATTCGCAAACTCTCGCCAGCCGATTCATCCAAATGCAAAGTCATGAGAGGAGCTATTTTCCACCAGCTGACTTAGAACTTCATTATCATCATTATACATGCTAGCTAGAGGTGGAAAACACCAGCTAGTGTGCCGCAATACATAAAGGAAAGGAAAATAAATACCAAAGTTGCATGCCAGCTGGGCTACCAGCAACGGATAGGTATTGTTCCGCTAAGCCACCAGCCGGCTACTAGGCAACAAGAAAAATTATCTTGTACGCTGCGAAATGAGATCGTAGGTGGAGGGGTAGGCTAAAAGGGATGAGGAGGGACAAAGAAACTCACAGCGGGAACGCCACTGATGTTGGCTCCTTGCCATGTCAGCAAGGGTATCTAGCCAAACGCGTTCAGCATCTTTTGGGCCCCAACCAGGGAGCCGTGACGCTCCAATCGAGGCCAACGCCAAAGTGAGGGCCTTCATTCCTCTCGAGCAAGTCATCGCTTGGTCCCCCTTCCTCTTCTTCCATCCACATCCGCGGTGAGCAAACAACGCAAGTCGTGGAAGTCGGTGGCTTGGCACGCGCAACACGTGGCCCATCCATCGGAGCCTGGTGCGTGAAATGGCGGTGCTGAGCGGTTCAGTTCCTTGTTCTGTGCCATAAACAAGACGTCAAACAAGCCCGTGACTCACGCGGTGTTCTCACCAGATGTGAGCCAAACTGCGAAGGCACCGATGGTCGAACGTAACTAGCCTCTTCATGTCCGCCGATCTTAGGGGCCAGGTTTCGCAACCGTACAGTAGGGTCGAACGTACCGCTGCATTGTACACTCTAGCCTTCAGGGGAGAGTAATGTCGCGATGCCGCCATAGATGGCGAAGGTTAGCAAAAGCACTTCGAGCTTTCGCTATACGGTTCCTGATTTCGGCTCCGATCCCAAGGGCGCTGATACAACGACCCAGGTAATTGAATTTCTGAAGGACTTCTAGCAGATCCCCACCAAGGGTCAGCGCAAAAGGCGATCCCTGCCAATCTTGGAGGAACGCTTTGCATTTCGATGGTGCAAAGCAAAGCCCGAAGCGGCTGACAGCCAGTGCGAATCTGTCCAGTTCATTCTCATTATCAGCACACGTGTTAGGACCCCGAATGACATGCATGATCCAGGTATCAGTAAAGGCCGATGGTGTGATTGAAACACAGACAGGTATAAATAACATGGAGATATGGAAGCACTGCTTGTTAGCAATTTTGAATCAAAATGAATGAACTAGATTGATAAACCAAGAAAATAATCCACGCCTTGCTAACCACCATGCGGAAATCAACTATGGGAACCCAGCACATAGTTATACGTTTGTTTCACGCATGCCAGTAAAGTAAAATGTAAATTTTATAGGTGCTACAATGATGGCAACATGGTCCGCCATCTTGGTTATCAGCCGGGATCATACACAAACCTATTGGCTCGTGATCCAACACTCGCCAGTTGATTTACACTGTGAGATAAATTGTAGCAACGCTGTTAATGAGCCACACTTTTCTAACGGATAATCAGCGCTTCCATCATTTATACAACCACTCCTGCCTCAGTAGTATCCATGTGAAACGAAGAGTTCGTGTCAAAATCCAAGGACTAAACTGGCTTCGGTACATTGTCGACGAAATTTAAATAAATGTATAAATCTGTGGTATATTCATTGACGATGCAAAGAACAGTCCAACTAAGTGGTCTGATAAATTTGTTGATAAAACAACCAGTAAGTGTTTAGCTTGGGGTCCGCTATCCAGGCAATTAGCAAGTGAATACCTTATTCATCACGTCGTTCTGTAATCCATTTGCAACCACGAAAATGCTCCCGAATAGGCGCGCTTCGACATTGCTTTGGTGATCGATACGGGTAGCACATGTGATGTAACCGATTCAAATCGCAAGGTCATCCGCTACGTGAGGTGAGCGAGTTGCATGCTTGTGCATTGGTCGTTTGCTCTATAAACACATAGATGAACACATTGACGTACTGAACGCCTACACAAAAATGTTGTACTAGAGATAACAATCGGCAGGAAGGGGACGGAAAATGTTTTAAGTGAAAATACACAAGCAAATCTTTAATCTTATCATGGACTAAACTACTCGAGGAGGTCCAAATGTGTTTCCGGTTACAGGCATGCAGGACGTCTTGGGAATAGAAAGCGCCATAGTGCAGACAACAGTGAAGTTAGTGTTTTATCCGTAGCCCGTCCGCAGGCATCATAGTAATAAGCTAAATGGTAAAAGGTCAGCGAGTCTAGCTTCCACTTAGCCCTATCTTTTATTCCTCTCCGACTCTTTTGCGTTCCCTCTGCAGCGCTTTCTCCACTATCTTCTTTATATCGACCTGTTTCTAGGGGCCTGTGCCTGGGCACCCAGTCGTCTACGAGGTATTTATATCTGACAGGGACAGCCTCCTGCGCCTAACCTTGGTGGCGATCAGCTAGAAGTCGTTCAGAAATTCAACTACATGGGAAGTTGTATAAGCGCCCTTGGGATCGAAGACGAAATCACGAACCAAATATCAAAAGCTCGGAGTACATTTGCTAACTTTCGCCACCTATGGCGGCATCGCGACATTACACTCGCCCTGTAGGGTAGAGTATACAATGCAGCGATACGTTTGACCTTACTGTACGGTTGCGAAACCTGGCCCCTAAAATCGGCGAACATAGAGGCTAGTTACGTTCGACCATAGGTGCCTTCGCAGTTTGGCTCACATCTGGTGAGAACACCGCGTGAGTAACGAGCGTGTTCGACGCCTTGTTTACGGCACAGAACAAGGAACTGGACCGCTCAGCACCGCCATTTCACGCACCAGGCTTCGATGGATGGGTCACGTGTTGCGCATGCCAGCCCACCGACTTCTTTGACGTGCGTTGTTTGCTCACTGCGGGTGTGGATGGAAGAAGAGGAAGGGTGACCAAGCGATGACTTGGTCCACAGGAATGAAGACACTAATTACAGAGCTGAAAGCGGTTGGAGCGTCACGGCTCCATGGATGGGGTCCAAAAGACGATGAACACGTTCGGCTAGATAAACTTGCCGACATGGCAAGCAGCCGACCTCAGTGGATTTCCTGCTGTGATTTTCCTTGTCCCTCCTCATCCCTTTTAGCCTCCCCCCTCCAATCATAATCACATTTAATATTGTAACATTTAATACTGTAACATAATAATAATAATAACATAATAATAATTTTTGTTGTTGCCAAGTAGCCGGCAGGTAGCTTACCGAAACGATGCCTATCCGTTGCTGGAGGTTCAGCTGGCATGAAACTTTTGTATTTGTTTTCCTTTTTCCTTTATGTAATGTGGCACAGTAGCTGACGTGTTTCCCAACTCAACCTAAGGTGTATAATAATGATTATGAAAGAAAATGGCGACCTACAGCAACCCAAAAATTCCCATTCAATAGAATGAATGAATTAAAGGAAATAGAATCCGAGTAAAGAATTCTTTTCGGCAATTCTCATCAAACACAAACATTACAAGATCACGAGAAAATGCTAAATGTACAGGATTGGGCTGTGTGCTTATCAGATTGTTTTATTCCAACAAGAACAAATTGCGGAATCATTGAGGGTGGCAAATTATGTACAGCGGAAATCACAACAGAAATTGCGAACCATGTCAGAAGCAAAGGATGTACAAACTGCTTTTGTACGCACAATTCTAGTATGAGGAGGCAGATACAGATAGCTTCCGCCAAAGAGAGGCGGTGCTTACGGAATCCGCTCGAGGAACGTTCAGGGATATTGTGAGTCGGAAATGGTTTTCCCTCCCTGCGTGACCGCATTCTGGAAGGTGCGACAGGATGGAGTTGTTACTAAACCTCGCTTCACCTTTGTAAAACCACTTCGGGATGTATTCGCGAATCCTATGAGATAGACGCCTCGTAGTACGACTCACGTATCGTGCGCCACAGGTGCGCCACTACTGATAAGCGAGCGTTGACCGAATCACCGGAGGTAGCCTGTCGTTCAAAGGTTTTGCGAATAAAGGCTTGTTGCAATATACTATGCGCAGGCGAGCCGCGAAATGAGTCTTTCCAACAGTGCCTTTCAGGCGTTTGAACAGGGCATTAGACACACTGTCGCCTTTCAAATGAATATGCACAATAAGTTCTTTCTTGGACACGTTCATCCTCGGTGGTGTTACCTTGCGTTCTTTCAAACATTTGAGGATGAATTTACCTGGATACACTTTCACTCTTAGTGCGTCACCGATTCTCTGCAATTCTTTGTTGATTGTATTCGGTGTGCAACTTCTGTGTGCCCGGAAGGCAAGGATGCGGACCAGATTTCGTTTGTACTGTAAGGGTACGGCACCATAGAAGCTGGTGTGCTGTCCAGTCTAAGTTGGTTTCCTGTACACTGCTCTTCTGCACGATCCATCGGTGCTTATGATGATACCAAGGTCCAGGAACCGTAGTCGATTTCCGGACTCAAGCTTACATGTGCATTGTAGATTCTGATATGCCTCATTAAAGGCTTCCAACATGTTCACAGTTTGCGCCTTGAATTTTCAGATTAAATATGTGTCCTCCACATGATGTATATACATTGACTTCGTTGATGTGCTTTCTTAATGTTTCTGCTCCAGTTTTGCCATAAAGACATTTGCTAGAAAAGGTCCCAATGGATATCTCATGGCAGCTCCATCGATTTGACGAGAGAAATCACCGTTGAAGGTGAACTGCATTTTTGAGGTGCAGCTGAGTAACAATTCCTTCAGAAGGTTTTCTAGAAGATTTACAGGTACATTCAGTTGACGTATCAGTTCACAAACATATTCCACTGTTTCCAAGAACAAGATATTCGTAAACAACAACTGTGCGTCAAATTAAGACATACATTTATCGTCAAGGTTCACGCCGTCTGCACTTACTGCGTGAAAGATACTTTCCAATTCATTGAGAGCATAATGGGCGTCAGTAACAACAAGCGCCAACCAAGACATGGCGGAATTGTAACTCCCGCATTCTTGGTATCTAGACCTCGCCTAATGTGTTGGTCAGAATGTTCCATTTAGCAGCTTTCTAAAACAGCTTAGCAGGATGTTGCACCATAATGTTTGGCGAACAGATTGCTTCTGCAATTTCGATAGATTGTTAGCATAATAACAGCTTTCGATTCAGTAGGCGCTTTTCCGTCGATGCAGTTCCTATCAAGGTGTTATAATCTTCTCACTAGACGCAACTCCAAAAATAACAATTCACTGCTCCACAAAACTCCCAGCCCAACCGAAGGAAAAAAGCAAAACGCCAATGACCCTGACAAATAACGTATTAATCGCAGCCAACGAACACTGTACAACGACTGAGGACCCTGGCTGTATTTATAGGTCTCTGCTGACCTTCGACTTCTAGAATTGGAAGGTCAGCTGCCAAGGTTAGTGGTTCCCCATATCTTTTGCCGAGAGGTCAGGTGGATTTTGATCACGTGTAGAAGAAGAACATTCAGGAACGTTCGAAATCGATGCGATAATCGTTAATAATCGATTAATCGCTAAAATAGGGAATTTCCAAGGCAATTCTTACTTTCTCCCGGACACCTCCCCTCCTGAGATATGTTCCGAGGTGTAAGAGGAAAGCCTGGGATTAACTTGCAGTCTTCGGGACGGTGTTCTCTGCCTGTCGGTCCACCTCCTTGGCAGAAGCGCCCGAGAACTTTGTTCCGATGTTCTTGTTCTGGATTCGTTGCTCGACCTTGTGCAGTCGTCCACTGTTACCTTCGGCAGGTTGAAAGTTTCCACCAGTAAATCGAACGGGAGGTCAGTAGGCCTTTCTTGTTCTGGCTGGCACAATGTGGGCCGTAACTGGTTTGCATGCCGCGGCCAGACCTGTGCGCCCACCTTCACGTCATACATGACGTTTCCGCGCTTGCTTTTGACCGTCCCTGGCGTCCATTTCGCATGGCCTTCCCGGTAGTCACGTACTAGCACCTTCTGTCCAAGCGTGAATGATCGCTTCTTTGCTCCATGCCGCCGGTTAAACTCCTGTTCCATTCTGCGGTTTCTTTCACCAACAGAGGACTCCGAGCCCGGTCGGATGGCGTCGAAAGGCATGCGGAGCTTCCGGTTCATCATGGCCTGTGCTGGAGAGACTCCGTCTGGTGCTTGTGGATTCGGTGTTGATCGGTAGAGGAAAAGGAACCGGTCAACCACCTCCTCTATACGTCCCTCCCCTTTTGATTTGTGGAGAGCTCGCTTGAATGTGTCGACAAATCTTTCTGCCTGGCCATTCGACTGTGGGTGAAACGGCGGCGAGCGAACGTGCTGGACGGCGCATTGCTTGCAAAACTCCTTAAACGCTGCTGAAGTAAACTGTGAGCCATTGTCAGTGACCATTGTCTCAGGACAGCCGAATCTGCTAAAGGCTTGGCGCAGTTTCGATATGGTGGCATTGGTGGTTGTGTTATCCATGAGAAATACTTCTGGCCACTTGCTGTATGAGTCGACTATAATGAGGAAACTTCTCCCGTTGATCGGCCCTGCAAAGTCGACATGAATGCGGCACCACGGCTTAGTAACTATTGGCCATGAACAGAGTTCTGCTTTCGGTGGCGCTTTCAAGACATCGGCACACTTTTGGCAGCGTCTGGCTATTTCTTCTAACTGTTTGTCCATTAAGGGCCAGTATACATAACTGCGGGCAAGCGCCTTCATCCGGTTGATTCCAGGATGCCCGGCGTGGAACTGTCGAATAAGGCGCTCCTGAAGTGTCTTGGGGATGACCACTCTTTCCGAAAATAGTATGCAATCGTTTACAATAGAGAGTGAGTGTCTCCTCTGAAAATACTGTTGCAACTCGGCAGATGGACATGAACGTGGCCAACTTGTTTTGTGAAACTGAGTAACCTTCTTGAGTATTGGGTCCCGAAGTGTTTCGGTCCGTACAGCTTCTGCGGTAACTGGTA